AAAAGTTAAAAGAATGTTTCCCGTCCAAATTCATTCTGGGGCCATTTTATGCCCATGAGACCCCATTTTTTTAAAATATGTAGGGAGCTAAAATATACTGGGTGAAAAACACACAATGAAAATCCCCTCCACACTCTCAGGGCCCTTCCACACAGCCCTATATCCCAGAATATCAAGGCAGAAAATCCCACATTATCTAAGTGTGGACTCAGATAACCCAGTTCAAAGCAGTTATTGTGGGATTTTCTGCCTTGATAGTCTGGGATATAGGGCTGTGTGGAAGGGTCCCCAGGAGGTGTTTTGGAAGCATTTGAAGATAAAAAAATCCTTTTTTTGCAGGACATTCTCCCCACCCCCCACCCCCAACCTCCCACAGTTAGCCATGTCTGGTTTAGGTTTAGGTACATAACACTTTGTTTAACATACAACAGCACTTTGAATACCCAGAATTAATAATTTGCATTTTGAGAACAGGAAAGACATTTCAAAAAGAAATATTAAATATACCATCTGATCCAGTTAGGTCCATCATAGGCTTTTAATTGACTAGATACATCTACAGGACATACAGTAATTAAAGGTTATATACAGAAGGTAATTTACCCCCAAAATGAAAGAACTACAAAGGAGAAGAATCCATTCAACAATATATTATTCCATGAAATCGGTCCACTGCTCTCTTGCTACTCACAGCATGTAATATACAACAGAAATATGATCAGCCATCTTGGGGATGTACTCACCCTACAGCCTTCCTATTTTTTACAAAAGCATTTTAACCCAGAACAAAAGAAATACACAAACCACCATAGGGTTTATTGGACAAAACAACACCGCTTTACATAGATAGTATAGGATGATATACGTAGATATGCAGGTCTGTTTTCCTAAAAAAATAGTGTTCCCTCATTTCTTTCTCACTTTTGCATGCTATTTGCCATTTTGCAAACTCAAAGCTGTTTGCCACTAAGAGGGAGCAAAAAAGTAGTTTAGTTATAAAACGTTTAACTAATCCAGCATCGTTATATAAACTGTGGTGCTAGAGGGATAAAATATAAACTGTGCCGTCTTGAACATAGAAAAGTGTGTAAAAATGGTTCCAATACCCATGCATTGTCAAGAGAAACACATGCACACACATTAAAGTCAACTGATCTAGAGCCTAGCAATGACTCAAGATTGATTTTGGCAAATCAACCAAGCGAACTGAGCTTATTTGCGATGGATAGTACAAGCCTGGGCTCCATTCAAAAGCTATATGCCTGGACAAACATCTAGCAGGATTGGAGGTGGGTATGGATGGTGAGATCTCTCATATCTCCTCTATACCACTTTCAGGTTTCTAAGACCTCAAGTTCTTTCCCTCCCAAATATGAAGAAATTGGCAAATTGTGTTGAATTCTTCAAAATCTAATCAATTTGTTTGGCAGCTACTCTGGCTAATCCCAATAGAGATGGCTCTTCCCCCAAATGGAGTAGACTATAATTGCTTGTCTCTTATTTAGGACAATCTTATAACAAAGAGCTGCAATTCTAACATGCTTGAATTGACCGGGATTCAAGTTCAAGTATTTAAGAGTTAAGCATTCAAAGCCCTAGGCCTGGATAGATGATACTGTCTGATTTGGTTTCTCTCATATTTGAATTTTTCACACCTCAAGTATCTTCCATCTGAAATATAAGGATGCTTATGAGTTTTGGCAGATTCTCATTTAAAAAATAACTGAAATGTAGTTCTCACTCATCCTTCAAGGTGCCTGACAGGAAGGGACGTAAGGCATTCCCTACTATACACAGGGAACTGTATGAAAAGATATTGTCAGATTCAGCTGTCTACTCGTGATGGTCTTACATTCTGCTCAATAAATTCTTATGGGTTTCAATAAGAACTGGGCTGCAATCCTATGCATGTTGACCTGAAAGAAAGTTCTACTGAATGAATTGAGCTTTGCTCTAGATCAGTGATTCTCAACCTGTGGATCCCCAGATATTTTGGCCTTCAACTCCTAGAAATCCCAACAGCTGGTAAACTGGCTGGGATTTCTGGGAGTTGTAGGTCAAAACATCTGGGGGCCCACAGGTTGATAATCACTCCTCTAGATCATTGGTTCTCAACCTGTGGGTCCCCAGATGTTTTCGCCTTCACCTCTCAGAAATCCCAATAGCTGGAGTTGTAGGCCAAAACACCTAGGGACCCACAGGTTGAGAACTACTGCTCTAGATAAACATGGATGTTAGTCACAATCCATTTTAAGGGGACCAGAGACAGAAGTGATTAATCTGGCAAATGCTTCCTTCCCAAAGCAATTCTTAGGTCTTCTTGGATGCTCAAGTGTCACAGGGAGGCTAGAAGGGAGAAAGGCATGGGGAGAGTTGGAACGTTTTAGGGATATCCCTTTCAAGAAAACTAGGCAGCTCCAAGCCTCAGCATAGAAATGCATTAGGCTAACTAGAATCTGTGTGGAGCTTTTCTCCCTAAGTGCTCCATATAAGGCTTGGCTTCAGACCCTCCTTCATTACCCTTATTGCCCCTTGAAAAAACACAGGAAAGCTGTTTGACAACCGGGTTGTTGTAGGTTTTTCCGGCTGTATGGCCATGTTCTAGAAGCATGTTTGTCCACTCCTTCCCACTGGAATAAATAGATCCTCCATCCAGTGGCAGTAAAAGCAAACTCTGGGCTAGTAGTACTCACACTTGTTTGTACACTTGTGCAAGGATGCTTATAGAGGAAGAGAAGATCTTTGGTGGAGACCCATTAGCCCCTGTGAGCATCATTCTTTCCCAACATGGCCTACACTGTCTTTGAGCCATTGCTCTATCAGTGCACTGGGTCCCAATTTAATTGCACCTTGAGCCACAGGGAGAGTCAGGTAATAAATTCATTATTATTATAGTTGTTGTTATTCCTTGTCAGATCCAAGTTAACTCTGGGGGAAAAATCTTTGAAACTTTGAAAACCTGTTGCTAATAATTGTAGCTAAAACTGGGGTAGATGGACCAATGGTGTGACTCAGTATAAGGCACCTTCCTATGCCCATATCTGGAAGTATGCATGTCCCTGGCCTTGGGACATTTTCAGGAAGAATATGAGAGTATCACATTAATTTCTTGCATTCTGGTCATATTAAGAATTTATACACTTGGTCAACAGCGCAGTTGCATTAAAAACTCCAGAGCACTTCCATGTTAAGATTGAGATAAATGACCTATGGATCCAGCTTCATCTGGATGCTCGGCTTCAACAACCAGATTAAGCTTAGCATCAAAGTTTGAAAAAAGGTGCATTTTAGACCAAATGCCATGGCCAGCATTGTAGCAGCAAGGTTCAAGGAGTTACTGTCTTAAAGTAAAACTTGGATGCTCTGTTCAGTATGTTGATATTTGTGGTTTTTCTGGTCTCAGATATTAAGGGCATGAGTGTATGGCACAAAGTTTGAATAAATGTCAAAATTACCATGACCTGTGCCCCCACAAGGACTTGAATGTCTTAGCTTAAGAATCTAGAAATGTTCAAGTCAGCACAGAAATTTCAATAAGAAAATAAGCTTTTTTAAAAACCCATTAGTTCCAACTATGACCCGAAGAACGTTATTTTTCAGTGGGCTTTGAGATACTACAGCAATTAAATTACATTCAGAAGAATATATAGTATTCTTTGTACCAAAACAGCAGGGGAAAGTCACCCTGAGACACGAAAACTAGCGCTAGAATCAGGTTAACTAGAGCCAACTGTTGAAATATATACTGTACCATACAAACCACTTTTGGCTTCCTACCACTTGCATCACAATGGCTTCTTCCACAAAACTCTGGGAATGGTAGTTCAGTTTGCAGTATGACACTTAGAGCATGATCTATCCATAACCTGAACTCAAAAAATTACACAGAACTGCTAGTGTCCCCTGGGCAGATAAGTATTTGTTTTTCTAGTTAAAGCTTATAATGTAGACGATGCTACCAACATTTGGAGCATCTTTGCTTCTGCCTCAGATAATGAATGATCAAAGCAAGTATTATGTATGGGAAGCAATATTAAGCAAAAAAAGGCACCCCATATCTGTTCCAGCCAGTTTTGCCCAGACTTAAGACCCAAAAACTATATGTAAAAAATACAGCAGGGCATATATATATATCTATATCTTTGAATGTCATAAAAATAGCGACAATATTAATGCTTTGGCGCAAATTCAGCCTTGATATAAAGATATAAAGAGTGTCTCTCTCTTTATTTATACCAGGGTGGAATCTGGACCATCGACTTGTGTGTACAAATGTAAGCAAAGCCCAGCCAAAGTTACACAAAACTGACTTGATTCACAAACAATAATTAATTGTTACTTCTGTCCAAGAAATATACATCAGTAAAAGAGATCCTTAAACTCTGACTTGCTGTCTTGAGAAAACATTGCGTTAATAGAAGGCTGGTTCATTTAAATTTGCACAAAAAGAGAGAGAGAGAGAGGGCAAAGAGGTTCTGTTCTGCACCACTAAAAGGCAATCTTAAATTCCCAAAGAGCCCGGATTCAAAAGTTAAACTTGTGTCTCTATACAAAAAAAGATACAAAGTCAGATGGTGACGTTATATTACATCTATTATCGATAGTATCACAGTGCTAGTTTTTTTAAATGGCTAAAACAAGAGAGGTTATTGATTTTAGGTGTTCTATAGCAAAGCAAACCCTTTACATTGTTGCTGATACCTGATGGCAGCCTTAACTGTGACTATGACGATTTCATTTAAAAGTACTAATTGCAACCAATTGAATGTGCTCTTGATTACTGGTTTGTTTTCCTTTGTGGCTTCCACGGAAGGAAAGGGAGTGTGCCTCCTAAGATCTTCCGCTTTCCCTCCAAAAAAGGAAATTTAAATGATATGAATCCCAGCCTGAAAAAGGTAAACGCTTGAAAGGAACAGTTCTAAAGCCCATGAACTCCTCGTCCTTGCTAACGTAATCAGGAAAAGAAAACTAAAACCTTTTCAGGTTTTAAAATAGATCGCTTTGACACGTCTTCGGAATGTTCTAGCTTTCCAGGTAGCTTCTTGCCGAAACATTGACTCCTGGTCTGTTGAAAGCAATCCTTTAGTCATCCTCGATTCTGGTTTCGGTGGGCTCTGTGCTGCCTCCTTTGTCTTGGTGTGGTGGAGCACCTGGAGAGAAAGAATTTTCTGCATGTTTACTTTCTTTTCAGTGCCTGAATCAAAACCCAACCACCCCTCCTTCTGACTATGGTCAACACTGACTCCAATATCAAGAAATCAATTAAAGCCTTCTTAAATTCATCCCTTCATCCTGTCTACTTCAGTGTCTTGTCTAGACTTCCTTCCCTCCCTTTGAAATAGAGGCTCTTCCTTAACCTCCTTGCATTCCATTTGGTGAAAAGAAAACTTAAACAATGTCTATTTTTGTTCAGAGAGATGACTACTGCTTCCTTATTTCCTCAGACTTTGAAGCTTTGAAGACTTTTTGAGTCATTCTTTTTATATAGTTACTCATTGTTCCCATAAATTCCCCATTCATGTTTTATTTATTGGTAGAAATGTTCTACCCTTCCTGTTGCAAGACATACTCCTTAAAATATTTCTCCACTTTCTCCCACTCTTGCTGCACCTTGTTTAGCTAGCTTCCCTTCAATATCCTAGTTATTTTGTCCATTTCCATTGCTTCTCTTAATTTCAGTTGCCAGTCATGGATGGAAGATATTTCAGTTGTTTCCCACATTTTGATAGTACTGTCCTTGCTGTTGTAATCATATACATGATTATTCTTTTTGTAGGTTGATTAATTCATTCATCTATCATGTTGAGAAGATACAGCTGTGGTGTAAATTCTAGTTCTAATTGTAAGATACTATTAGGGCCAGCTTTAGCACATCAGGTTAATCACCAGCTGCAGCTGCAATAAATCTTGCAATCCAAAAGGTTGACAGTTGGAAGCTGGGTCAGGGTGAGCTCCTAACCTTCAGCCCAGCTCCCCTGCCCACCTAGCAGATCAAAAACAGCAATGTGAGTAGATGAATAGGAACCGCATTAAGCGGGGAGGTATTTTAGGCACAGCATTTTGGAGTAAAGTTTACGAATAAAGAAAGCTCTTTGGCAAGGAGATGGAGCAACAGTGCCGCGCTGTGGCTGGAACTGTGCACAGCGTCCAAAAGATGCCGAATGATGAGAAAAAGACTAAATATACCACTATCTGTTGTCTGTCTTGTCATTGTATAGTTGGCATTGAATATTTGTTCTGTGATCCACCCTGAGTCCCCGTCAGGGTGAATAGGGTGGAATATAAGTACTGTAAATAAATAATCAATAAATAAATACTATTTATTGTATTACACATCTTTTCCCAATAATTCTTAACGCTTTTGCATTTCCACAACATATGGTAGAGGGTACCTTTCCCCTTCTTACATTTCCAACATAAATTTTCCCTGGTTTTATAAATTGTAGTTCTCTGGGGTTAAATACCATAGATAGTGGATTTTATAGCAATTTTCTTTTAAATTACTAGAATACGTAAAACTCGCCACGTCTTTCCATGTTCTTTCCCATTGATCAATGTCAATTACACATACAACATCCCTTCACCCTTTCAATGCATTGCCTTTTTGCTTCATGGAAGATGCAGTCCAGGTATGTATGAATGCAAAAAACATAAGATCTGACTGTCAATTGGATTAAATCAAAAGACAGTTACAGCTGGTGACTTCCATCTCAGTGACTAGGAATCCTTCTACCTGATGCAATTATTGCACCTACTTGAACTGTCGCGCTTGCATCCTGTGGAATGCTGCTGGTTGCAGTCTGGTGGGAATTTTAGAGATTGCTCTCTCAACTGAAAATCCCATGATTCCATAGAATATTGCTATGGCAAAGTGGAATCATGGTGCTGTTAAATGTGTAGTGTGAAAAGGTTGCAGAAGAGGAACATCATTTTGACTGGGTGTTAATATTCCTACACATGAGAGTAACAGGGCATTTCAAAATAGCTTGTATAAATATCCACTGGGTCATATAGTTTTCAGGAAATGTTACAAAATAGTAAATATCGTTAGCTAACAGTTTTCTGAATATGTAGTTCTCTTCCCCATGCAAAAGTTAATTGGAAGAATGCATACTTTCAAGATCCATTTGCTGCTGTTGAGCACAAGCTCTCTGAGCAGCCAGAGCCTTCTTATCCTCCAGTGATTTCAGATCGTCTGGTGGCCAGCGAAGCTCTCCGCTTTCAACATCTCCTGTCTCGGATGGCTCCACCACAATAGATGGCAATCTTTTTGACAGCTTTGGGTACTTTTCATGCGCTTCTGGAAAAGCCTAAGGGGACATTTATTTATTATTTTCAATATTTCTCAATCAACAATACAATAAAAGTACTTTAAAAGAAGTAAAAAGAAATATGTAATGTTGCATTCAAGATGATACCTAGAAATTAAAGTCTGGAATCTGTATGGGTTTGCTAATGTAGTGACACCACTGGTAGCAGCGAAAGAAGTAGCATTAAGACTGACATAGTTGTCGGTGTTGGAACTCAACCACATCTTGCACGAGTTTATAGTCCTCAACAAGAAAATCACCGACTGAGTTAGCTGGCAGAGGAAGTCCTTCCCGCATTGCTCTCTTATTTACTTATTTACTGTATTTGTATACCGCCTTTCTCAACCTCCCTCTCTCTTGTGCTTAACATTAGCTCTACTGCTATGCTTAAGAAGCTTCTGATCTGCTAAACTTCTGCTACTGCTGTTGTTTCTGATTTGCATTTTTAATTTTTTTAATTACCCAAAAATGAACACAGCAGAAGGCAGAAGGGGGTAAAGATAAAGTGAGGGGCAAAAGCAACAGGAGCATACTAGTTCTGCAATGGCTATACAAGACTGAGTCTCCCTTATCTGGAAGTCTGAAATACCTCCCAATACCAAAGCAGGTGCTAAGAAACTCTGTTAGTGAATTATAACTATGTGTACTGAGACCTTGGTGAGAGTGTCCCAATGTGCATTAGTGTGAAATATACATTGGTCTGTGATGTCAATTGATGCACAAGGCACGTTGGGAACTTTGACATCTTTGCTACATACTAACATAACTGCAGCTCTCTACTGGATTGGGACATTAAAAAGCTGACCAATTCTAATTCTGAGTTCAGTTACAAAAGCACAGCTCTCATACACTAAGAAGATAGGAAAGTTAAAATATAACTAAAGTATTAACAAAATTAAAATAAATTTTAAAATGAAGGCAATAATGACATTATCATTATTATTATTATTATTATTATTATTATTATTATTATTATTATTAAGATGAGTCTTTGACTTTTTTTTCTTTACAGGGAAATAAAGCTTTCCTTCTTTTGCATGTCTCTTACAGTGCTTCTAGTCAGCCACTTTTATAATGCAGGTTTTAAAAGTGGGGAGGGAAAAAAATCCCAGGACTTGACAGCAGGTCAACACACAGACCTGTCAGTCCTGGGAAATCTCCCCCCCCCCCCCCCCCCCCCCCGAGCCCTCACACTTTCCTTTGAAGAAGATTTTACAAGTCTGCAAGATGGGGGGTGGGGGACATCCAGAAGAAGTTTTTAAAATCTCTTTGAGATGTGCTGGGTCTCCTATCTGCACATGCTGAGATCCCAGTGTACACACAAGCAGATTTCTTACTTTCTCTCTTCAAGCTGTGTATAATATTATAAGAAAGAAAGAAATGGTTGCTTTCCAATTGTGCTTCCCTTTAACCACCTGTGTGTCCATGGCTCCAATTGTCGATAGCCCACTCAGCTGTTTCAGGCTTTTAAAATGTGTGTGCTGGAGCAGTCCACACAGGGGGATGGGAAGGAAGTTACATGTTTTGCATGACTTGAGGGAAGGTGTGTATTTTGAAGGTGTGTACTTTGGGAAGAATCGGATTTTAAGTACACCTTTTAAATACATGCTTTTCCGTTGTTAACTTTCCCCAAACATCATTTAGCCACCACCTTTTAACCCAGTTACTTCTGGGTTTTACTGCATGTGTAGAAGGGCCCTTAGACAAACCAAGGTTTTAAAATGAGCATGTATTAGATTTGAAAACACTTGGCAGCTGTCCCTCCACTTTTGGGGCAGTTAAAAGTGGGAAAACCAATAATATCTCTGGAGATGAATGGGGTCACTCCTGCCACAGTCCCAGGGAAAGAGGAGCAGCTGGCACAACAGGCCACTTCACTTACCCTATAGATCTGAGCTCCTTTCCCTTTCCCTTTCCCTTTCTGCAATGTGTTTCTGTTTCACTTGGGGAAAGGAAGGAAGGTACCAGGGAAAATAGAAACACATGGCACATAGGAAGAGTGGTAGGAAGTGGGCCTGCACACGCCTAAACAATATTTGCCCTACAGATCCTGGCTCCTATTACAATTCCTCTGTACCAGATATTTCTGTTCTGCTGGCTAACCTCCCTTTCTTTGCTTGGACGAAACAGAGACTTGTGGCACACGGAAAAAGGAGGCAGATTCACAGGCAAATGAAGTGGCACTCAGGGCCTGCTCCTTGTATTCCTCAATGTCTATTTCTGAATGTGAAACCTGCAAAAGTGGAGGGATGACTGTACACAGGTATCGTGGGAACTTGATTCCTCTTTATTCACTGCCTCCTTAACATGGGCTGCTGGTTAAAGAAGTTGTCGATCAGCTGTGGTTGCTATGGTGGCAAGTGAAAAAAGAATAATGGTTTAACACGGTCGATTTCTGAAAACAAAAGACAACATTTATGGGACTAAATCAAAACCTTCATCTTCAAATCTTTGTGTTTCACTGGCACTGCTGGGCTGAGGTTTGTTCAGGATGTCTTTGGAAAAGACAGTGATTTGCCATGACATGTTGTTATTTACGCCTCATCATTCTGATGAATAATATTGTGCAATGCAAAAATCCAATATTTAATAACCTGCTGTGAAAATGGGATACAATCCCAACCCACAGCACAGTGTCAAAGTATTGTGTTCAATTGACAAAAATATTCTGCAGAATGAAGTGAGTTAAAACTGTAAATTGTGTGGGTTTTTAAAGGAAGAAATGTCAAGTCTGGTCGAAGTGCTTTCAGGTTCAGGGTTGAGTGTCTCCATTTAGAGGGCAGAGAATGGATAAGACCAACCTATAGAAAACTTGAAGCTTTGGAAAAGCACTACCAATTTCAGTTGACAACACTTTTCAAGATGAGTTCAATGAAAAGTCCTAAGTGGGGTGAAACTTTAAGAAAACACAAAGACTTCCAGCAGGGCTAGGCTTTGAAAATACAAAAGTCCTCGGTCTGACTTTAATCAATCTGAACTGGAAAGAGCGGTCCATCCATTTCATAGTAAATTGCTGGGTAGAGGGGGAGGGGGAGATGGCAGAAGGGAGGAAAGGGAAAAGGAGAAAAGGAGAACAGAAAGAGAGAAAATACTGAAGAGGAGGTTTAAGAAGAGGTGGTGGAGGTGGGGTGCGTGTATGCTTATTCTCTTTAAAATCTGCCTGGTGCCAGAAACAGCCCTTGACAGATTACATGCAAATAAATGTATCCCTTAATACTAGGCCCCCAAATCTTATTATGTAAAGGATCTATGGTTAATAACTCCATAGTACCAAAAGAATTACGAATTAGTTTTTGGTCAACTTCAGATTCGGTTTGGTTATTTGGGGTGCTGATTCAGAAACTTGCATTGGATAGACCAAATCAGCTCTAGTTTCTGATACAGAACATATGCCATCCAGTAGTCGCCATCTGCTTGCCCAGAGAAAACCATATTTGATAATCTAGAGCTGATGTCGCTGATGTGGTCTATCCAATGCAATTTTTGGAATCCCAAATAATCCTAGGAACAGGTCTAAAATGAAGACATCAAGGCACCCCCACTTCCAGTCACCACATGGAACAGCTCCACTCAGGGGGAGAGAGGAGAAGCAGCAGTCAGGAGGCTTGTTGTCTTGCCTTTCATGGATAGTCAGCCTCCCCCCTCTTGACATCCCCATTGCTTCAGCACTATAAGAGGGTTTCATGAGACGAGTCGCTCTTATTGCAACAGTGTAGGACCGTTGAGGCTGTGAACCATATTTTAGTTCTTGGGTACCATTGGTGGTCCATGGACCACAGGTTGGGAACCACTGCCCTATGGGTACCAAAATCTGTGAATTCTCAAGTCTCATTGTCTACAATAGTAAAGTTGTGTCCCTTGTATAAAATGGCAAGATCAGGTTTGCTATTTGGAATCTCCCCAGCCCCCACCAAATATTTTCAAATCATAGCTGGTTGAATCTGTAGATACAGAATCTGTGGGATGAAGGGCCAACTACAATATATTCACACTTTGCTACTCTGTCTCTTTAACTGCTTTCATACACAGAGAAACTCTAATGCATGAAAATACCAGAACTTCTCAATTATAAGTTTCCAGCGGTAGGATGATGGCGATATCTCTGTCTACCTATAAGATCTTGCTTGAGAGCAAGAATTCCTGGCAGGTAGTTGTCCAGCCTCTTTTTGAAGACGTTCAGAAGAGGAGACCCTTGCACCTCTCTAGGGAACTGTTTCATTGTTGAACTGCTCTTGCTGTCAAGAGGTTCCTTCTAATGTTAAATCAAAATCTATCCTCTGTGACTTAAAACCATTAGACTTCATCCTATCCTCCAAGGCAGCAGAGAACAGACCAGTCTTCTCTCCTCAGTGACAGGCCTTGAGATACTTAAAGAGCACAAACATGTCACTTCTCAGTCTTTTTCCCATCAAGCAGAAAATGCCCAGCACCTTCAACCGTTTCTCATTATTTGTTCTTTTTATCTTAGCTTCCACACCAACTTGTTTATATCTTTTCTAAAATGAGCTACCCAGAACCAAATGCAGTGCTCCAGAAAGTGCAAATTTCAGTGATTAGTTCTGTTCTGACTTACTGCCTTGCAAGAGGCCAATTTGTTAAATCACCTAAAAAATTGGATGAAATGGATTTTGCACTCATTCCTATTCAAAAGCAGAGAGACCAAGTTGTCACACCAGTAAGCACCACTGTGTATCTCTATGTTCCACTTTTTTGCTTTGTTCCACTTTTTGCTTTCACTCTCACTTGTCAGATCATGTTAAATTGGAAAATGTACCCAGCTCTGATAGAGGCAGGATGCCTCATTTAATATGTCTCAAAAGCATCAAATGCATTCTTAGCCCTAGCCCAAGCTAAATAACTGTGTATATAGACCATCTCTCCACCTGTTAAGCAGCAATGATAGTAATTCTCAGCCTCGGGACCAATGAATAAGTACAAAATCACACTTCTAAAAAAGCCTGCTTAACACTCAAAATGACAAAAACCCTTTCCCTATTTGAACAGTTATGATGTGAATCTTCCACACCTGAGTGGCACTCAGCGAGAGCACTTCAAAATCCAAGCTGAAATGTTAATACATACATAACTGTTGTGAGTGCTTTTATCATTCCCATAAGGATCTATCTACAGCTACCAGAAAAGATTCTGCTCATATGGCTCAGCAATAGCAATCACATCACCAGAGATATGACATTGTCAGAAAGCTTCTGGGAAAGTGCTGCTTGCTAACAATGCCACAGTGGTAGATGGATAGTGGTAGATGCATTCTCTTTCTCTCAGCTTTGTTAGCTGTCCAGGTTTTCACAGAAATCATAAATATTGAGACATAGATGAGTCTGTGGAATTCATGGTTTTTTTTTCAACCCTTCCTCCCAGTTCTCTTTATACATGTTACCAAGCTATATATATATAAACTAAATTAATATACACTAACTCTTATTTTCTCTAAGAAAAGGAATCATGTTGACACATACAAGGAGACAATGTTTGTCAATAGATAGCATTGTGTCTAATTTACCTGGCTGGAAGTGCCTCCTTCTTCTTCAGGCTGGCTCAAGGTAAATTCCTCCATAACAGGCTCACGCGTATTCATCACCTCCGTCATGCTGCAAATATTCAAGCAACATACAGTAAGACTTCCATAACTGCAGAACTCATATCCATGGTTTTACTTACCTGAGACCAGGGGAAAATGGTCTCTCTAGACCAGGCTTGGACAAACTTTGGCCCTCCAGGTGTTTTTGACTTCCGCTCCCACAATTCCTAACAGCTGATAGCCTGCTAGGAATTGTGAGAGTTAAAGTCCAAAACACTTGGAAAGCCAAAGTTTGTTCATGCCTGCCTTAGATATTTTCTTAGTCTTCCATGTGACTTTACGGTATGCTTCCCCTGGACATTACCAAGAATTGTGTTGGAGGCCCCAGCAAACGCCTAGAAAAGATACTTATTTAGAAATCTCTAGGGCCTCCAACGCAACTCAGAAAATTCAGTGTTGTTCAGATATACCTGTTCCTTCAGGTAACTTCAGTCCAGCCAGCAATATTGATATGGCAATCTTACTGTACTCATTTATTGGAATGTTGTAAAAAGACTTAACCTAGCTTCATTATTTTCATTATTAATTATTTTAACCAGTTTTCTCTCAGTGTTGCTTCAGTATGGATAATGTTGTATGAATAACCTTAAAGATGCCCTGGTTACAGTGCAGGTTTTGAATAGTTATCTGGTCTAGGCTGTTTTGAGCTTTTCCAAGTTTTGGTTCAGAGAGCCACCCTCTTTAATGTAGGACATAGCCACCCCAACACCTATGTCAATAGGCATACACACTTCAATTATTGATCTAGTTGCAGCAAGAAGTCATTAGAAATTAGAATCATAAAGTTGGAAAAAAAAACACAAGGGCCATTCAGTTCAACCCCCTTCCATGTAGGAACACAAAATCAAACCACTCCCAACAGATGGCTATTCACCCTCTTCTTAAAAGCCTCCAGTGGAGACTCTATTACACTCCAAGGCACCAGATTCCACTGCCGAACCTCTCTTACTATCAGGAAGTTGAATATTTTTTCCTTCAAGTTGGATCCATTGCTCCATGTCCTTGTCTCCAGAGCAGCAGAAAACAAACTTGCCCTCTCCTCAATGTGATGTCTTTTCAGATATTGAAACATGGCTATCATGTCCCCTCTCCATCATGTTAAACATGCCCAGCTCCCTCAGCCATTCTAGGATCAAATACTAGTAGTCCAGCAACCTGTAACTGCCTATAAGAATCCCACAAGGAGAGTAAGAATGCAATTTCACTCTCTTGTCCTTTCCTGCACTAATCTCCAAAGGTCTTCTGCCTCTGATACTGGACAGAATAACCATCCATTTTCCATGAACATGTCCAATTCTTAAAAATCAAACAAGTTGGTGGCCTTTACTTTGTGACCAGATCATGGCCAACCCCAGTGTAATTGATTACCGTCCTTTTATCTGTTCAAAATCATCTATGATTTTTCTTTAGAGGATGAGCCCAACTTCAAATGCTATGAGAAAAGGAGAAAAGGTTCCTTATTAACTCCATTCACCGTGCACAATTTTATATATTTCTATCATGTCTCACCTTACTTTTCTTCTAAAGAGCCTCAAACGCAGTAGCTTTTCTTTGCAGAGCAGTGGTCCCAGTTTCTTTATCCTTTTCCTTTCACTTTTTTTCTTCCTTTGCTAGCACCACAACTTCCCTTTTCACAAATAAACTCTTCTACTTCCTTTTTTGATTTAGGGAAACAAGGTAGAACCGAGAGACCGAATTTTTCTTTTTTACTTCAAATTGGGAATCTTGCCAGGGATGCACCGAAATCTCCCAGTTATCACTGAACAGCAGGAATCTAGACCCCAGATGGTAAGACAACCACCCCCTTCATCCCTGAAAGCCTCAAGATGTCCCTCCGTCATCACCAAAACAACAGACGCTCTTGTGTACCCATAGTCAAATTGTTACTGACAGTCACACACTACATTCTCTTCTCTTCTCTCCTCACCTCACCCCCACAAGCCAGTCAATGCCTTTAGTCTCCCAAGCAACACTCTGCATTTGTAAAATTCTTCCATTTCCATCCCAATGAAAAACGGTTTCCAATAGGAAGAATACTTGCTGCCATGCTTACTGAGATAGTCACTATTAATAATATGCATCCACTCATCACTGCTGACTCTTGTGGCGCATATCTACATCTCCCTTTCTCTCTCTCTCTCTCTCTCTCTTTTAATCTAGAACCTGGGTCTCCACTGTCAGGAAAGCTGAATAACTGAGGTAGCAGGCCTATGTAGACCCTCTGCATAAATCCCTTTGAAGTCTGTAGAGTTTGCTTCAGAATAAACATTCCATTTTATTATCTTACAGTATTATTTGTGCAATAAGACTGCCATAAGCATAGAACGCTTATTCACAGCTTCACTTGCACACACCTGGGGGAATACAGTCTCTTTAGGAATTTATTAGGTCTTCCTGGTAATTTCATGATATGCTTTCCCCTGAATATTAGCATGGAGTTGCTGTAGAAGACTTAGCAAATTCCTAGCCAGGATTTCTGGAGACCGATTCCTGGCTATTCCCTTTGGCCCCATCTGCACTGCCTAATAATCCAGTGTAGGAACCACAAGGTGCATACAGGCTAATGCAATTGAACCCAGGGTGCCAAAAGATCGCAGCCGACATTTGGAAATAATAAACATTGACAAAATCATGATCTGTCAACTGCAAAAGGCCACCTTACTTGGATCTGCACGCATCCTTTGAAAATACATCACACAGTCCTAAACGTTGAGAAGTGTTCGACTTGTGATTTTGTGAAATGAAATCCAGCATATAGATTCTATTTGCTGTGACATACTGTGTTTTTGTGTCAAAATAATAATAAAATAATAATAATAATAATAACAACAACAACAACAACAACAACAAGAAAGGTTCAAATCATCCAGGTAGATCCAGACCTTTCCTGATGGTTCAACAGTAGGTATCAGGGTTGCCAGATGTAGAAGATGAAAATAAGAGACAGGTGCAGAATGGAACTGAAAGTTGTAACTGTAAACATCTGAAGTCCAAGGCAAGGTGAAGTTTAGGGGGCCGCCTCCTGGTAGCGTCTATTGGGTTGGAGCTCATTCAGAGGGAGAGCAGAGAGTCTGGGCTCTGAGGGGACTCCAGTCCTTAAAGAGACCTCCAAATATGTAAACATGTTTCTTCTGGTGCTGCAACAGCTGCCTTTTGTGCCATTTTGATTGTGCTTTTTCCACTCTGGGAAGGGAAGGAGGGAGGGGAAGGGGGGAAGGCTGGTGGAAATACAGGATTGACACCCCGGGAAAGAATGTAATGGGATGTGGGACATTTCGTTCAAATACGGGACTGTCCCTTATAATCCATGACATCAGGCAACCCTGGTGAGGATTATCATTTTCAATATCCATGATCACATCCACACAGCAATCCCACACTCCCTAGGCTCAGGCAATGCAAGGAGGTGGGATGGCAGTGCCTTACTGCTCCCCAGCATCCCCATTTCCCTCCTCAGTTTGTACATTGTAAGGGAAAGCTGAGGTAGATGCAGATTAATCTCGAAATTAACCTGGCTCTGAATCTGAAAGGACATTTCAAATGTACACTAAACCGACCTAAAACTGATGTTGTGGGCACTGTGCTGTGCCGGTTGTTAGCTGCCCTGAGTCCCTCTGCGGAGGTGAGATAGAACGGGATATAAATGTATTTATATGCCGCCCTTCTCACCCCTAAGGGGACTCAGAGCAGCTTACAAGAGATATACACATACAATATATTATATTATTAGCATAGTACAATATCAGTATTAAATATTACTATATTGTACTATACCATTATATTGTAATATTATTAGTAATATTACATGTAATATAAATATATAATTATAATATCATATTATTATATTGCATTACATTATACTATTATAAATATTACATTACATTATATTATATTATTAGAATAGCACAGGATACAAGATGGAACTGTCTTCTGCCCCCCCCCCCCCTCTCTTCACTCTGGCCCAGAGCAGCAGTTGGTGCTGGGGGAGGGGTCCCCAATTGATGACATAAATTCCCTAAATAAAATAAATAATAATAAATATGAACCACTGTTCCGCCTTCGTCACAAGCACGTTTGGTGGGGACGAGAGACAGGGCCATTTCAGTGGTGGCCCCTTGGCTATGGAATGCTCTCCCTAGGAGATCAGATCTGCTCCCTCCCTCTTGACGTTTTGGAGGCAAGTTAAAACGTGGCTATTCGAGCAAGCGTTTACAAATACAGAGTAGCTAATATAGGAAATCGAATGACCTGACAATGGAATTGGACAATGCTTGAGAATAATGAGAAACTGATAATGTTGCTTTTATTGCTTTTGTGATGTTTTATACTGTTTAATGTTTTTATCTATATTATGTTTTATGTATACTGATTTGTTGCAAACCGCCTTGAGTCGCCAATTGGCTGAGAATACAAATACAGTAAATAAATAAATAAATACTTTTACCTGTGTATTTCCTAAAGAGTGCAACCAGTTGCTGCACAAACAAAGCAATATACAACAGAGGAACCATGCTCAGTTAGATGAGACATCAAAACTGTTTTCCATAAGGTAGGGTGAAACAATTCCTTCAGGCTGGGGTGTCATAGCAAGATATTGTTAGTATTTTAATTTACTGTTGTTCAGTTTTTTTCCAACAACAGGAAAAACAAAGATTATTTAGGTTGTTGTAGGTTTTTTCGGGCAATATGGCCATGTTCTAGAGGCATTCTCTCCTGACATTTCGCCTGCATCTAGATGCAGGTGAAACATCAGGAGAGAATGCCTGTAGAACATGGCCATATAGCCCAAAAAAACCTACAACAACCCAGTGATTCCGGCCATGAAAGATTATATCGGATTTTCTGCCCCTGGCAGAAACAAAAATAATATGCGCGATTTTGCATGTTATGGGCCTTGACTTGTAGAAGAGAAGCTGCATCATAGCTTGCGATAGCTCTGGCCCCCTGATGACATAGAAAGCGATAATTTCCTTCCAATGGAGGATGATTGCTTCCATGGGGAGGATATTA